CACACACGCACACACGCACACACAACACACACGACACACGCACACGACACACGCACACACACACACACACACACACACACACACACACACACACACACACACACGCACACACACATGCACACAAACACGCACACGCACACACACAGTGGTAGTATTAAAGTTTGCGAGAGCGCGCTACCTTGCAGGGAAACACGGCCAGGTGTTTAAACTCCTCCTGCTTCCTCTTCTTGTAGTCATTCTGATAGCTGGTGAATGAATCGAACAGGTGATAGATGATGTCTGCCTGGAAGATGCGCACCTGTGCAGGTGTGAAAATCCAATTAACAATGACGCCAACACACGACGTATACTACTACTATCATTACCACTATGGTGACCTAACTGCGAGCGAAATATGATACCTGAATAATATTTGTTATTACGTTATATAACTTATATTCATATAATAAAATATTAATTTCATAATATGTCATCACTGATTTCACATTCACCCACCCACCCATACAAATGATTTCAAATCCCTCTATCCACCAACACATATATGGTTTAATACCCCCCCACCCACACATATGGTTTAATATTCCTTCTGCAGCCAAAACATATGGTTTAATATTCTTCCCCCATCTACACATATGGTTTAATATTTCTCCCCCAACCACACAGATGGTTTAATATTCTAATATTGTCTCTCTCTCTCTCTCTCTCTCTCTCTCTCTCTCTCTCTCTCTCTCTCTCTCTCTCTCTCTCTCTCTCTCTCTCTCTTTCTTTCTCTTCCATCCATCTCTCATTTCCTCTCTCGCTTTAGCTCTCTTATTCTCATTTTCTTTTCCATAATTGCAAACACGCTGCAAACAAAAACTACGACGTGTGGCAGCCGCTATGTCACGTTGCAAAACCGCCAAATATTTCAGGAATCGTCGAATGAATGAATGAACGTGCGCGGCGCGTTGGCGGCCTGTCATCGCAAAAAAACATTGCCAGCAACAAGATCCTTCACCGCTATGACCCTTTAACTTCCTGTCACACCGCGAAGGCAATCCGAAAACATGCCCGTTGATTATGACTGGCAGCTCTCATCTTCATCTCATTCGACAGACGATGAATTCCGGACTGGCTCCACGTCGTTTACCTCGCAAATTTGCACGGGGCGTGCAGGCACGCAGCGCAGGTCAAGGGGACAGTATTGCTGTCTATAATGTCACGGGCACTATATCGCTAATACAAGAAATTGAAGAACGCGTGTTACCGTGTGGCTCCGTGGTGGCGTTACGTACACTAGACAGCAGGCTCAAACATAAGCATGTCATGTGGAGGAGAATGTTAAGTTGTTGTCTCCCGCTTCCTCCCACGTTATTTTCTATTTTCTCCAAAATTGTTATGCCATAAACTTCACATCGAATTGTTTGATTGGACATACCTTACTTTTTTTTTATTATTCCAATTGTACCCTTTGCAATCAAGACAAATATCAAGAGCTAATAATACCTAGAGTGTACAACGGAAAAACGGGAAAATAGTGCTATTTCACGACAACATTATTCTACTTTGCCTGCGAGTCTAGAATAATTTTATGATATTGCATTAAGTCTGAAGAATTCTTTGCTCTCTAAAACAAGACCAACCGCTTGTCAATACGATACTCCGAGGCTGAGATATTGGCTCCTAAACCATTGCTTCGTGAAAGTTCGGTTTTTCCGCGATAACTTTATGAATGAACGGCGTTTCGGTTATCATAGGTGACTTTCGGGGGCATCGCCTATGCCCTTATCTACCATTATCTTTCCTAGCAGGGCTAATGCCCGTCATGACGGAGCCGGCAATGTTTTAGCGTGCGTGCGTGCGTGAGGGCATACACAGTGCGGGTGGGTGGCCAGGCGCGCGTGCGTGCGTTCGTGAGGGCATACACAGTGCGGGTGGGTGGCCAGGCGCGCGTGCGTGAATGAGTTGGTGTTGTGCGCGTGGGTTTCACACAGCTCTTATGCCCACCATTACGCAACAGATACCCTACCTTGCCCTCCCTTACCCATGCACATAGACCACCCACCCTACCCCACACCAATATCTTACCCGCCTTTACCAATATACCTACCACGGGCACCCTGGGGGGGCACGCGCATCTTAACCCTAACTCACTTCCCCACACAGGTACCTCATACGCCCATCACGCATAAAAAAAGCCAGACAGCGAACAGGCGGGGAGAGAGAGAGAGAGAGGGCGTATGAGGTGCGGCTGAGGAGCCACTGTCACACACACCGACATGCACACAGACACGCACGCACGCACGCACGCACACCGACACGCACGCACGCACACACGCACGTAAGCCCGCAACGAACTTTTTTGCATGTAATTTCCTGCTCACCTATAAAGAAGATGAACCTATGTGCCCCTCCCCCTCCCCCCGGCTCACCACAAAGCAATCATTCACACGACGGCCGGAGCGACCCATTTACGCCCTAGTTTGTGGCCAAATGAAATCGCTCATAATTTGCAAGTGCGACTAACGTGGACACAGCGTCGTTAAGGTTTAGCTACGGGAATTGTTTTAAATTGGCGGCGGGGTGAAAGTGGAATGTGAATGTGAATGTGAATCTATATATCATGGATTGAGGTGGGGAATGTGAATGCATATGTCATGGGGAGAGGTGGGGGTGGATTGCATATGTCATGAGGAGAGGTGGGGGTGGATTGTATATGTCATGGGGTGAGGTGGGGGGACGTGAATGCATATGTCATGGGGAGAGGTGGGGGTGGATTGTGTATGTCATGGGGTGAGGTGGGGGGACGTGAATGCATATGTCATGGGGAGAGGTGGGGTGGATTGTAGCCAATATCTCAGCCTCGGAGTATCGTATTGACAAGCGGTTGGTCTTGTTTTAGAGAGCAAAGAATTCTGCTTAATGCAATACCATAAAATTATTCTAGACTCGCAGGCAAAGTAGAATAATGTTGTCGTGAAATAGCACTATTTTCCCGTTTTTCCGTTGTACACTCTAGGTATTATTAGCTCTTGCAAATATGGATAGATAGAGATCAAATATTTGTGTGGCAGACTGGTCCGCACGCAGGCAGGCAGGCAGGCAGGCAGGCAGGCAGGCAGGCAAGCAGGCAGGCAGGCAGGCAAGCAGGCAGGCAGGCAGGCAGGCAGGCAGGCAGGTAGGCACGCAGGTACGCACGCAGGCAGGCAGGCAAGCAGGAAGACAGACAGGCAAGCAGCAAGACAGGCAGGCAGGCAGACAGGCAGGCAGGCGTGTAGGCAAGCAGGAAGCGAGGGCAGGCGGATAGCAGAAAGACGGACCAGCAGGAAAGCAAACAGCAGGCAGGCAGGCAGACGAACGGACGGACGGGCACGCACGCACGCGCGCACGCACGCCCACACACAGCACCGGAAGTCATAAGCTGTCGGCTGCTCTCGCTTATAAACACTGCGGCTCTATAATGAATCGCTGGTCGGCATACGGCAACTAATTAATATCCAGCTCGTAAATAAATGTCCCGTTAGCACGCAGTACCATAAACCACCGGCGGAGAGAGCGGGGGAGAGGCTGGGAAGAGAGGGGCGGCGGGGGAAACGGGAGAGAGGGGAAAACGGGAGATGAGTTGAGAGAGGACGAGAAGTAGAGGAAGAGGAAGAACGAGGGAGAGTGGAATAGAGGGAGAGAAGGGGAGAGATAGAGTAAAGTGAAAGTAAAAGAGAGATAGATAGATAGATAGATAGATAGATAGATAGATAGATAGATAGATAGATAGATAGATAGATAGATAGATAGATAGATAGATAGATAGATGGTTAACTAGCTAGATATATACATGGATAGCGAGAGAGATAGGGGGAGGGAGGTATAGAGGGGGGCGAGGGAGATAGCAGTAGATAGAAAGGCAGGGGGAGGGGGGAAGTGATCGCAAGAGATAGAAGATACTGGCTTACGTGCGGTGTAACATCGTGGAAAAGAAGACACGCGCTGCCGCGCCCCTCCCCCCGCGCGCCCCTCCCCCGTCTCTGCGTCATCGTCTGTATGCACGCCACGGCGCGTGGTCCCCATTGTGCCTCGTAAAACACCTGGCTGTGTTGCGAAACCCGCCAATTACGACCACCACCGCAGCCGCCGCGCTGGCAGACGACACACCACCGCTCCACGGCATTGTGTGTCGTCATTGTTGGTGTTGTCACGCCGTACTGCATTGCGACACGTGGCACTGTTGGTGACACCAGCGTTGCATTGTTAATTACACTGGCGTGATATTGCCGGCGACACCAGCGCGACATTGATGGTGATACTGGTGTGACATTGATGGCGACACCAGCGCGACATTGATGGTGATACTGGTGTGACATTGATGGCGACACCAGCGCGACATTGATGATGATACTGGTGTGACATTGATGGTGATACTGGTGTGACATTAACGGACACGTCTTTTAATAAAACGCTCGCAGCACCATCGTCGGCAGTGGATGCACGAGCGGCGAATTCAGGCTTCTCATGATGTCACTCTCTGAATGCGGAGACGGGGATGCAGGGACACGGCGACACAGGGATACAGGAATGCAGGGATGCAGGGGCACAGGGGCACAGGGATACGTAGAGCAAGGGACAGGGACAACGGGACCCAGGGATCCGAGGTGACTGGAACATGTGCCACATCAGCATATGTGGACAGAAGGATAAAGAGGCACTAGGATGCAGAAACATCAGGAAACAAAAAATAAAAGTGTCAATGACACTGTAGCTCACCTTGGGTGTAATAGAAGAGGGAGGGGGGATATATAAAGCAAGAGTATATATGGGCGAACTCCCATTATATAGCATATCTCCCATTATATACTCTTGATAATGATATATGCATAAGTTTTGGTGCGAAAATAAATGTTTCTGATCTGAAAGTCTGAAATCTTGACGAGAGATGGCGCTACGCCTAAATGATCGCCATTTTGGTTTTCGAATATCGCGCAAATAAAAACCATAAAATATACCAGTCAAATTACTGTAACAAAGAATCTAAAACACAATATTACACGAATATAGGTATGATTGTAGAGTTGTTAACCAGTTAGACGAAATAAACGTAATAGGACGTTGTCATCTCTCCCATAGGAGTAACAACTGTTTTGGGGCTAGCCTTACACATTCATATACCAAAATTTCACAAAATCGAATGAATCTAGATGGCCAATTTCATTTTTGTCAAAAAGTGGGCGTGGCTCGAAAGTAGGTCGACTGGCGTGCTCCAAAATAGGACGTTCAAACCTCTCCCATATGAGTAACAACTATATGCAATTTCAAACATTCAGAACAACGGTTCTTGAGTTATCGTTGACCGTAGCCAAATGTTGACGGACGGACGGACGTACGACGGACAGCACCTCATGGCAATAGCTCATCTTGACGATGTCAAGGCGAGCTAAAAAAACACCGTGGAAAAGAGAGGAACAACCCCAGGGGCCCGTTGTCAGAAACAAATTAGTCTTAACATTAACCTTAACATTAACTTTTTCTCTTAGAGCGTTGACAGAAACTTCGTAAAGTTATCTCGTAACTTTTCTCTTAACTTAAGAGATCCTAGACCCTCCCTTAACATTAATATTAAGATGAAAATAACACATTTAGACTAAGAATTACAATTATAGTGATATTATATTTTATATTAATGAGTAATATCATGTTTTTCTTGAAAAACACGTCAAAAACATTAATCATCTACCGATCGTGAAGCAAAACAAGTGTCAAAACATTTACAAATGGCAATGTCATGGGGCGAGGTGGGGGTGTATTGTGGATGTCATGGGGAGAGGTGGGGGTGGATTGTATATGTCACGAGGAGAGGTGGGAGGATGTGAATGCATATATCATGGGGAGAGGTGGGGGAATGTGAATGCATATATCATGGGGAGAGGTGGGGGTGGATTGTGTATGCCATGTGGAAAGGTAGGGGAATGTGCATGTATATGTCATGGAGAGAGGTAGGGTGGTGTAGGGTGGTGGGGACGTGATTTTGTGCTACACATATTAGGAGTCGATGGGCAGGATTGTGCAGGTTGGTAGGGACGTGGTTGTGTACAACATCTATTGCGGGAGGGCGGTGGAGGGTGGCGTGAATTCGTGAATATAACACGTGAATGGGGGACCGTGGAGGAGTGTGTATTGCCAGTATTCACTGATTTGGCAGAATGCCGTTACGACTCACAATAAGTAAAAACCGGCGGAAGCCGCTTAAAATAGAGATGGAAACGAGCACACACGGCAAGCATTACTTCTGCGTCCGAGAATTCGGGTCTTTATTGTCACGTATAAGGGCTGAGAGTCACTCAGTACGGGTCAGCGCGGCGCTCGCAACTACAAGCCGTAACGACAATGTTATAGTAACGCAAACCCAACCAGAGCTCTCACTACGAAATATCCGTAACCAATTCACTACGTATCAGTAACCAATCAATGCGTATTAATCACTAATCAATGCTCATCAATGACCATTCAACGCGCGTAAAGGGCGAATCTATGTGTTTATCAATGACCAATTAATGCGTATCAGTGACCAATCAACGTTTATAAAAAGCCAATTAATGCGTATCAATGACCAATCAATGTTTGTGAATGATTGCTCAACGCACACAAGTCACTAACCAATGCTTATCAATCACTAATCAATCCGTAGTGATTTGTCATCCCATGTCAGTCATTTTCTCCTTTGACTGTGCACGCGACCACCACATTTACTAACTCAACTATTACCTCCTTCCCAACAACCACCAGATCGGCCCCGCGAGAGGATTTGGCGGGACCCTCCTCCCTGGGGTCTCGACATTCCCCTGCTCAACCCCCCTTTTTCCCGTTATTATTTTTTCGAGGTTCGCTGCTATTTGTAAATACATAATGGTGTCCGTTTTGCGGCTGACTCTCAATAGCCTCCGCTCGTTACCTCGATCACATTCTAAACATCTCTCTCCGCTACTCAGCTAATTTGAAGCGACAGCGGCGATAGAGAGAGAAGGGCGGTCACAGGGGGGCAGAGAGATTGAAGATTGAGGAGGGGGTAAGGAGAGAGACAGAGAAGCGACCATAAACGTTACACACGCTCAATCACAGCGGAAGCAGGGTCGTCTCTCCGCCAATTTCTTTACCAGGAGATCTCTCTCTCTCTCTCTCTCTCTCTCTCTCTCTCTAGATTCTCATCCAATCAGCAGCCTTGTGATGATGTTCCTGTTATCGTAAGTTTTCACTTAAGTAAGTTTAGTTACGATAGGTTTCTGTCAACGCTATTAACTTTTCTCTTAACAATAACATTAACATTAGTCTTAAAATTAATCGTAACTTTACGAAGTTTCTGACAACGGGCCCCTGGAACATGTGAACAGTGGGGCAGAGGGACACTGGCACACTGAGCTGCTGAGATAGCAGAACATACAGGGAAGACGTTCACTGTCAACGTGAAGCTGATGTGTGGTGGGTTCGTCAGCCCTTGCCCTTCCTTGCCCCCCTATGGAGCAATAGGATCTAGTGACGAGAGTACGACTTACCCCTAGGCTATCAGCCATCTCCTGTCCATCTCTCTCCACCTTCACATCAAATGCCAGGATGCAGGCAAACCTGCAGCAAAAACATGGGGACAGCGCGATTAACCATTGATTCATTACTAATCGTTTTACTAATTATTAATTACGTGGCGAGTGGAGTACTGGCATGCAATTATTTATCTTAGCATCCCGTCCTATTTCCTGTGGAATACAAATGGGCAAATACAACGCAAATATAATAACAAACATTAATCTACATGAAACTTCTTTCTACTTTAGTACTATAGTACTGTAGTGCGACATTCGTACTATAGCAAACTACGAGTAGTATGAACATAGTGTGAGTGTAAGTATTTGCACAAGTCTCCTCTTCTCTGGCGGCACACAAGTGCAAGCAGGTGATCGGGAAATTTCCATTGCACGGCTATTTGTGTGTGAACCCAGAATAGTCTCTGCATATGGTCTGGTAATAACAGAATATCATTTTATATATTACATAGTAGTAGCTAGTTTAGAATTTGTTGGGATTCACTGTTGATTACGCGTCGCCGCAGGTATTTTCCATCGGACAACATTATGGCTACAATTATTGAAAATACATGGCAACAGGAGTGAATACAAACAATTATATTTCTAACATGGCGTCCGCTAGCAACAACGTATAGATGACGTCACACAAACCATGATAAACCGGCCTCCTACTGGTCGAGCTAGATAGAGGCTGATTATTCCTCTATCCCAGCCCGTACTGAAAGGCTCCCTATCCTGACACATATTTACTTTTTTCCCCACAGATTCCGGCCATTTTTGCAGCTGGATTAACGTTAGAATATATATGTATTGACGCACACATTCAGACACACACACACACACAAATAGCTCAAATACCGCCATGCATACGCATACAGACGCGCACACACCCACACCAACAATATTACATGTACACACAATGCACAAAAGAATGAGAAAATGGCAAAAAAGATCACAACGAAGCTTTCCCACGAACATTATGTCCATTACGGAAATGCATCTAGCCACTTGTGCGCACCGAAAACAATCTCGCAGGGAAATCCGTAAATTGTAGGCGGAATAGGCCGACTGCCGTGTGAAGAGAGGGGATGCTAGCTCCTCGCACTCCTCGTCCCAACCTCTTCCCTCCTCCTCCACCCCACCAACGCTGCCGTTTATCCTGACTCGGGATCCTTCTTCTCATCCTCCTCCTTCTCCTCCTCCTCCTCCTCCTCCTCCTCCTTCACCACCACCACCCCTCTTCCTTCTCCTACCCCTCGTCATCCTCTTCCTCGACCTCCTCCTCCTCCTCATCCACCTCCTCTCGCTTCTCCTTGTACTCATCCCTCTCCACTACATTCACATTATTCTCCTATTCTAGAGCCATCACTACCTCCCCTCCTCATTATCAACTCCCCACGCACATCTTCCGCCACTATCTGAACTCTTGTTTCTCATCCACCACCTTCTCGTTATCCACCTCCTCCTCTCCTTCCCTATTCTCCTCCTCCTCCTTCCTCTATCACCTCCTCGCTCGAACGACTGACCTAATTCACGCGCCCGTCACCCTACAATGCCCTCACTGACTCTCGCCCCCACAATCCCCCCCCCCACACACACACACCTCCCGCATCCCGCACAACACCCCAAACCGCATCCGCGCACCCCTAGCTGACGCGCGGGGGTGGGGTGGGAACAAGCGGCCCGCACTAGCGCTTGATTCCTGACCCTCGCTCCGTTGACCGTCGTCGACTGCCGCTCCGCAGCAGCAGCACGACAACACGGCATTGTGTCGCGCCTCCGCCCGCCGCCGCTGCCGTGATTTCATGATCAGCGCATGCCGAGGCGACGATTACACGCAACACGTCCGCGGCTAAACGTCCGCAAGCAGAGCCGCGCTGAGGGAACTTCCCATGACGGGGAGGCGGTCGCCCTCACAATGCCCGCGTGTATGCTCGCGGGGGAGGTGAGGGAGGCGCGGGGGAGCGGGGGGAAGAGAGTCGGCCAAATTGGCCTCTTCCTCCGATTATGTCTTGGCCGCGCGCGAACCCAGCAATAAATGCCATTCGCCGCAGAAGCAAGGCGGAATGTCTGAGATTTCTTCTCATTCTCGCCACGGTCTTGCAGCGAGAGCACTACACTTATTATGCTCGACTGACCGACGGGGAGGGAGGGGGACTGAGGATGGGAACGGGTGTTTCTTTTTCCTCGCTACGGTCTTAGAGCAAGAGCACTGCACGACGTTCGGGTGAGCGGCGCGGGAGGGAGAGAGAGGAGAGGAGGGAGAAAGAGGAGGGAATGAAGAAAGGAAATGAGAAAACGAAGGAAGGGGAGAGGCTAGGGGAAAAGATGGGAGGGAAGAACGAGGAATGGGGAATTTTTTTCTTCTCGCCACAATCTTAAAGAAAGTGCGGTGTTTATTAAGCTGGGATGAGCGGCGAGAAAGGGAGGGGGTAGATAAGTGGAGGGGGAAGGGAGCGAGAGAGGAGAGAAAGGTACGATGCAGCCAAGAAACAATACAGGCTACACAAACCCAGCCTGTATGCTCGAGGCTTGCTGGACATTGGTCCACGCACGACGTTGGTCCATGCACACGCGTGCACACACGCACACTCACACTCACACTCACGTGCACAGACACACGCGCGCAGGCTCATACGTACGCACACGTACGCATACATACACACGCGCACACACGCACGCACACATATACACTCACACGCGCACGCACGCACGAACGCACGCACACATACATACAAACTCACACGCGCATGGCAGCACGCACGCACGCACAATCTTTATTGCCGCCACCCCATTCGCAACCAGCCCCGCACTTCAAAGGGACGCTCTCCTATATACGTGCAACAGCCACTAGAGGGAGCCTGCTGCAGCAAACGCCCGCGGGAATAAGAATGAGAGTGATCATCAGGCGTTTAATAGCATTTTGTCGTTCGCTGATGAGGTCCGTAAATTGCGTGCGCCGATAGTAATAGAGAGCTGGGCAGACTCGCTGGCTAGGCTGGCACAGGATACGGTCACCCGGGGCTAACTAGCTACTACACGCACACACACACGACACGGGGGCGGTAATAGATTCCGTACTGATCAGTAGCTAAACACAGTGTGTTGTGCTGACGTGTAGCGGGAAGACAAGTCAGCTTGTATGGCAGCATAGTAGGCGTGCGTGCGGCGGCTTTATCTGTTCTGTTCTTCTTCACATCCTAACAACACCGCCTGGTCGCGTAGAGAAGCCGTGAGGGGTGCACGGGAGGGGGGGCAGGGGAATGATG